CTCCACAGTATTCCACTGTGTGACTGTATCACAACTTCTCAATTAATTCATTTATGATTGAACATCTGGGTTGTTTCCATGTTCTTGTAATGGTGAATAACACCATTTATTTGAATTATTAATATAATATTTCAGTCAGTATAATGTCTTCCAGGATCATCCATGTTGTGTAATATTTTATGAGTTCCTTGTTTTTCAGTGCTGTGTAGTATTCTATTTTGTGAATATACTGTAGTTTTTCTATACATTCATTTGTAGGTGGACGCTTTTGGCGCTTCCATCTCTTTGCTGTTGTCAATAACACAGCAATAAACATGGATGTGCATGTATCTGTTTGGCTGTTGGCTCTGGTTTCTTTATGGTATATTTGTAGTAGTGGAATTGCTGGGTCAAATAGAGTTGCTGTAAGTGATAATAAATTCAGTGATAACATCAACAATAACTTTTGGTTTCTGTGTCTCCATTTCCCAAAGAATTTAATTACAGAACCTACCTTGTAAGATTACTTTGACGATTTTCCAAAGTAAATGAAGTTTGAAAGTGATCATACATACTGTCACTATTTTAAAAAGCTTTTATCAATATTTATTCCTTCTTCCTAAATAGTAAATCCTTGGGACTCAGTGACACATGCCTTTTTCAGCGAAGAGGCTGGAGGCAGGACATACAAAAGAGTACCATGAAACTTCAGAGTCATATGACTGGTACTGGGAAGGAGTAACAGTGAAAGGTAAGGCTGATGTTATGCTATCTTAGAGCCCAGATATCCCTCCCCTCTCATTGTTATTTTCTTTTTCATTTTCAACTCTACTGAGAAGTGCTCAGGGAATTCTGGTGGTCTAGTCTGTAGGGAGTTACTCTGCTAGCTCAACTGTGACACTTCTACCCTAATTTGAATCTACCATTAGTTCCATACAAGAAAGACAATCTCCTCCCATGCAGTTTATAGCCTCATAAATCAAATGGCTCCCAGTCCACAACTGATGGTTAAGCAGGTGTGTCTGATATAGGCCATGGTCTTTCTAACCACTTGCTATGCATTTGAGAGCTGGACAGTGAATAAGGATGACAGAAGAAAAATTGATGCCTTTGAGCGATGGTGTTGGAAAAGAGTGCTGCACATCCCATGGACTGCCAAAAGAACAACTAAATATATCCCAGAGAAAGTACGTACATCCATGGGGCTCTTTGGAGGCAAAGATTGATAAAGCTTTACCTAACATTTTCCAAGCCCATTGCTAGGAGGGGCTATTCCTTAGAGAGGAACATGATGCACAGAAAGGCAGAGTCAGCAAAGAAGATGAAGACCCTAGACCAGGTGAACTGACACAGTGACTGCCACAATGGGATCTAATGTGTCAGGAAGTAAGGATAGCACAGGGTAGAACATGTTTCTGATCTGTTGTGCATAGGGTCACTATGGGTTGTTGTAGACTCAAAGGCGCCTAACAACAACCCTAATCCAAGTGGAAGGTCAAATATGAGTTGATTCAGATTCAATAGCAATGAGATTGAACTTTTTTTAAAGAAATGCTCATCTAAAACTATGCTCTTGTCTACAAAGTTGAAAGACAAAAGTATGTTAAGACAGGGATTCAAGTAGCTCATACTATGAAGGTCAGAATCTCATTGCTACAAAAGCAGAGAAAAATGAATAACCTGAAATGAGAGTTTAGATTAGACTTCCTAGAGGAACAACTCTGTATTTAGGACTGAATGAATAATTAAAGTTATGAGAAGAAAGAGGGCAGTAAAATGGAAGTCAGAGAAAGCTAGGGAACCTGCCTCCCAAGCAACTAAACTCTATATATGTAAGAATCCAGAGTCTTGGACTATTTGGAAAGTGTGTCCCAAAGAAAGGGATGGATTGCCCAATAAGTAAGATAAGCATAAGCTTATTGTTTCTTACTTCTTTTTATACTGAAGAATACAAAATAGATTTGGAGACTGGTGGAGTTTGGTTCTTCTCTGAAGGTGCAGGATAATTAGAGCCTGGGGATTTCACATAGCCAGGACATACCTCTGAGACGCAGTGGCTTTAATAATATTCTGCATTTAGTTCCTACTCTAATGTGGAATCATGAACCGCAAAATAACCAAGGTGGAAATTTGTTCACACTTAACAGTCCCTGGCCAGGATGCTGAGTGCCTTTTCTACATGTGCCACATATTTACAACTCAAAGGACAGCAGCAGTATGTAGAGTTGAAAAAATTAGCATTTCTGCCATTCCAAAACACAACCCTGAAGAGACACATGGAGTTAGCTAGTGTCTCAGTCTCCTGGAGAAATAATGGCCTGGATAGCACGCAAGTACTCTTATATTTGCTGTGTAGAGTTGCTGAAGGTTAATGGTGAGTTGACAAACTAGGCAAGCTAGTAGTTGTTCTGAGCAGAGTGAACGACAGCTGAGAATTTTGGAACAAGAATTCATATGTTGAAAAACTCTTCGTCTAACTCTAAACAGGTCATTATTGCATTGGGAAAATGTTCTGCCTTGCTGTGCTTGGTAAAATATCCCAAGCCCTTGAACACTGTGATAGCACTTTGACTCGTCCAAGACTTTGAAGGCTTCCCTGGCACTGCACTATCTGGCCGGATATGGCTGAGCAGTGATGCCCTGACGCTGAGTGTTTTTCCTCCACTCAGACACAGTCATTGGTTGGAGCTCTAGATTAAGGCCAAATCTTTAGATCTGATAATTAGATGCCATGGAGTAACTTTCAAGAGAGCAGTTGTTTAAGAATAAGAGATGAAACACCGGGGCTGAAATAATTGTGTCACAATTCATTTTTTGTTTCTGATTCTTAGAGGAAAATATGAAAGAAAAAAATGGAACTATTCCATTCCCGAAGGCTCTGAGTAGAGATTCTTTGAAATAGAGGAGAGCTGCCATCTCGTCTTGAATCATGTCTATAAAAGAAGTCTGGAGAAAAGTGATTGCAAAAATAAGGCCAGTATCATGACCTATTGAAACTGTTGAATGTCTTAAACATATAGGAATAGAAATAGCGGGTCTTGGTGTTCTTCTCTTGTATTGATAATGAATATTAGAAGTATTGATAAGTAATAATCATTTAAATTTATGTAGTGCTTATCAGTCTTCAGGCACTGTGCCAGGTGCTTTGTATGTATTTCCTCATTTAGGCTTGAAATACAATAATTAGACAATGAGTCGTAAAGCATATATGCATCTTTATTGGGTTACTTAATATCCACAGTCATAGTCAATGCTCTGTAAACAGAAAGCACCCAATAAATATTCATCCGCATATGTTGTTGTTGTTGTTATGCTCCGTCGAGTCACCTGCAACTAATAGCAACGACCCTACCTACAACAGCCTTAAACTTTATCCCTTGCCGATCTTATTGTCTCTGACACACCTATTCCCATTCCTCCAGCGACTGAATCAATCAATCCCATCGAGGGCGTTCCTCTACTGCACTGTCCCTCCACCCTCCCAAGCATGATATCACTCTGCAAGGACTGATCCTTGCAACATGTCCAAAGTATGTCAGATGAAGCTTCAGAATAATCCTTGCCTCCAAGGAGAAGCCTGGATTCACCCTCTCCAGGACGAACTTGTTTGTTCTCCTAGCAGCCATGTATATTCTATACTCTTTCCCCAGCACCAAAGCTCAAAGACATCAACTCTCCTTCTATCATCCAGCTCTCTGATCCATAGCAGGTCATTGCAAAGGCCTGTATATACTTTAAAAAAATCTACATATACCTAACAAAAATTTAATCTGCATATACCTAACAAAATTTTAATCAACAAAAATGAGAAGTGTTCAATATCCCCAGTCAACTGTTCTGGATTATAAATCAAGCAAAGTAATATGATCATGATAACACTTACATAATTTTCCTTTTGAAGCATCTTTTCTTAAGCAATGTTAAGAGTGTGTATCCCCTAGTTGGTGATTTTCAAGTGACAGACTTACAAGCAGTAGGAAAAGTTGAAGAAAACTTCACAAGAACACAGAAAAGCATTGGATGAGAAGGAATAAAAATATTAAGGAGAAGGTGCAGAATAGAATCATATCTATTTAAAGTGTGGACAATTCAACAAATTTCTTTTTTAAAAAATTATCTTTTTTGCTGAATATTCTCGAGATTGTTTTTTTCCATACTTGTAGGCTTTTGAGAGTTAAGGAAAAGCTACACTCTGTTAGGTTTCTCCATCTTTTGTATATAAATAGCACAGGCATGGTGCATTATTTTGCAAACCAAATAAACTCCAAATGCGTTAGTGTTTTATATGTACTATGTATACCATATATGTGAGGTATTACATGTGAAAAAAATGATAGTTTATTAGATACAAAACAGTTGTTTAAAATATCTGATTTGATATTGGTTTTGTAGCCTGACCACAACTATTTCTACCTGCCTAAACTAAAATGATAGACAAGAACTACTGACATCTTCAGAGGCTCCTTAATTATTCAGAGTTCATAAACACCTGATTGTCTTAGGTAATGTCTATTCACAATACATCTTTTGTGTAATATTATAAATAAGATCCATATCAATGGTGGAATGATTCAAAATGTCCTCAATTCTTGTATCTGTGTCTCCAATATAGTGGAATAAAATGTTTTCTTATAGACATTCATTAATAAATTAACTCATAAACATGATGATTGCCAGGGACTTGTGAGAAGGACTAATAATCAACTACTTAATGATCATAAGGGCTCCTTTCAGAGGATGGGGATTGTTTTGGAACACAGTAGAATTTATGGTTTCATAAAATTACAAATGTAGTAAATGCCATTGTATCTTGGATAATTCCATGTTTTGTGAATTTTAATTTAATTTTTTTTAAACTCACAAAATATTTCTTTCATGTTAGACTATTGACTTCATTTAAAGATTTGTAACAACTAAATACATATAGGGAGAAATAAAGGCAGATATTTGCAAAATTTTTTTTAAATGGATTGATCTTTACACTCTCTCTCTGTTTTAGATCAAGTACATAAGGCCCAGAAATGGGAAAGGAAAATGAAACAACAACTGATGGCTTCCTTCTTCTGGGCCTCTTCTCTGACTCCAAGGCTCCTGAGTTTCTCATCTCCATCATCCTTCTGACCTATGTTATTGCTGTTGCTGGAAACTCCATCCTGATCCTCCTCATCTGGCTGGACTCCCACCTCCACACCCCCATGTACATCCTGCTCAGCCAGCTTTCAGTCATGGACTTGACCTTAAGTTCCTCTACTGTCACCAAAATGGCCACTGACTTCTTCTCAGGGAAGAAAAACATTTCTCGAATTGGCTGTGGGACTCAGATGTTCTTCTACTTGACGGTAGGAATAGCTGAGTGTGTCTTCCTGACCCTGATGGCCTATGATCGCTACGTGGCCATTTGTAACCCTCTAAGATACCTGGTTCTCATGAGTCCCAGGGTCTGCCTCCTGATGGTGATGACAGCCTGGGTTGGGAGTGTTTTAACGTCCTTGTCCCACACCATCTACATAATGCATTTTCCCACCTGTGGTTCCAGGGAGATTCACCACTTCTTCTGTGAAGTGATGGCTTTCCTGAAACTATCCTGTGAGGACACAACATTTTATGAAAAAGTGGTATTAGTCTCAGGTACAACATTGATCTTCATCCCATTTGGCCTCATCCTTGCTTCCTATGCCCTCATATTCCTCACTGTTCTCCGAATGAATTCTCCCAAAGGGAAGAACAAAGCCCTGGTTACCTGCACCTCCCATCTGACTGTGGTGAGCCTTTATTTTGGCCCAGCCATGATTATCTACATGACCCCAGGTTCTTCTCTCTCCCCAGAGCTAGATCAACATCTCTTTGTATTTGATACCATAGTTACTCCCTTATTGAACCCACTAATCTACAGCCTTCGAAACAAAGAGGTAATAAGGGCTCTACAGATGGTCTTGCGGATATCGCTCAAGTCAAAGTAGCCAGAGAGCATTTTTGTCACTTAGGAATATAAAAGCCTTTATACTAAAAAAGAAATCTTATATATATGTGTTGATGAAAAACTTAAGACTTAGGATAACATCCTCTGAAATAGCTACTGACTTGATTGTTTCTTTTACATATTTTTGTCTTCATATGAAAATTATGTTTTATTCCCTTCCCTTAAAGCACAAATCAGACTGCCGTGAACACTTTTTTCCTGGAAAAATACCATCACAATTCACAGAGGAAGGAAAAACATGGGACATATGTTTTAAAGTGAGAAGAATTTAAAAAATTATTTAAAAAAAATGGAGTTTTGAAAATGTTGTAAAACTCAATACTCAAAATTTAAAAGTAAAAGCTTGAGCCATCCAATCAGAACATGTACAAAAGATATTTCACCCAAAAGACTACACAGATAGCAAGTAAGCACATGAAAAAGTGTTTAGTATCATTGATCCTCAAGAAAATGTACATTGAAACTATAATGAGATACAATTCCACATCTCTAAAAATCACTGAAATCAAGAAATGGGACCACCATCAAATGTTGGTGAGAGTGGAGAAAACCTGATTCATTCATACAGGTTAGGTAATGGTACTGATTTTTTGTATATATGTGTTTGACTTTATCATAACTGAGTTGTAAATGTTCTTCAACTTTCTCCCTATTGCTAAAGTAAATGTTAGTTCTCTGTCTCTGAGAAACATTTATTTCAAGGATATTTTCTCTGATTGTGATTAGTAGCAAGTGACTAGGCATAGCAAGTTCTAGTGGTAGATGAATCAAATGAATTAAAGTACCAACTATAACAATACAGTGGAAAGATACAGAATCTGCCTAGTCATGGCACATTTACCATCCATATGTTGTGGCATAAATGGGATGACATATACTCTCAGTTTTGGCAGAGAACAATTGAGCCTGGCTAAAGAAAAACTGTGAATGCATCATTTCTAATCATGACCAATGACATTTGAGAGTTATGAGATGTTTCCCCTTCTAAAAATATTGTCATAGAGAAGACCAACTTTGAGGCACTGCTTTGAGGTGCTGCCCTGAAGTCGACAAAAGCAACTTTTACATCTCATTGAACATTACAGTCCTTAATGTGCAACTTAGTCCACATTACAAAGATTTCCAAGCAATGTGTGTGTGTCCTTAAAACTTACTCCATTAATCACCTGAAGGTTGTGCAAGTTTAATAGCAGTTTTATTTGTCTAAGCTCCTCAAGCAGAAGGCCAGGAAAGAGGAAGATGCTAAACAAGATGAATTAACAGTGGCTGCGTTAATGGGCTCAAATATAACAATGATTTTAAAGATGGCACGGGGTTAGGAAGTGTTTCTGTTGCATGTAGAGTCATTATAGTTTGGATCTGACTAAATGGCACCTAAAAATTGCAACAACATTAGTTCAGAGACCTACATGCTCAGTTTTCAATGGAATGTTGTTGAAAAGTTGAACATGAGAAGAAGCCATACCCTTCCACAGAGTAGTGAAAGATGAGAAGGATCACCCAAGTGGATTATTTGTTAGAGGGCAAGAATATGAACTAGTTGCATTTATTTTAAAATTATACATTACTTCATCAGGATCTACTTAAGGTCTATATAGAGATCATGCAATTTCACCCTTATTTATCAATATGTAATTTTTCTTTTTGCTAATGTTCTCCTGACTAGTCTTTGTTAAGTTGTCCCAGAGAGTGGGGAAAAAATTATTTAAAGTCAAACTTTGAAATATACAAAGGCTTAAGTTATGCCTTATTTATGTTCTTATAACAACAAAGAACAGAGATTATAATTGCAGGAGTTAGGGAGCTCTGGTGGCCTAGTGGCAAGAAGCTGTGCTGCAATCCCAAAGGCTTGTGATTCGAATCCACCAGATGCTCTACAAAGACGGAGGGGCAATCTCCTCCCGTGTCAGTCTAATCCTACTCAACAGCACACAAGGACAAAAAAAGAAAAATGCAGGACTTAGTGGTAAGAATTAGTTGTAATAATAAAATATATTATTACCTTTAAAGATATAGATGAATGTTGGTGAGATTGTAAAATGGAATAACCATTCTGGAAAGCAGTTTGGCACTTCCTCAAAAAGCTGAACATAGAAATTTCATATGACCCGGCTATTCCACCAGTTGTGATACACCCTGAGAAAATGAGAACCGAAGCACAAACAGTGACTTGTACACCAATGTTCATAGCAGCATTGTTCACCATCACAAGAACATGGAAACAGCCCCAATGTTCAACCAGAAATAAATGGATTGAAATTACGGTACATTCACACAGTGGAATACTATGCAGCATGCAGGAGCAATGATTTTGTAAATTATTATCTAACTTGGGAGGGACTGGAGATCATTATGCTGAGTGAACTAAATCAGTAGTACATGGATAAATATTGTATAAAACCATTATTACAGAATGAGTATAAGGATCCAAGAGGGGTGGGAGAGATTGGAAGGAGAGTGATGAGGATGTGTGGGGGGGGGGGAAAGAGGGATTAAGTTGTACAATTTGTTAAGTGGGGGGATGAGGGATATTGAAAGAATTTGTTCTTGAAAACAATGTATTCGAATTTTGTAAATAAACTAGTAGAAAATTTTGAAAAATAAGATATTGATGGAGTAATGTGGAAGAAAAAAATGTATCTGTGCAATCATTAAAGAGAATCTTGATGAGTCCAAACACCCCTTTTAAATATCTAGAAGACCAACAATGAGATGAATTGACTCAGTGGTTGCAAAAATAGGTCCGAACATACTGTCAGTTGTGAGGATGGTGCAGGAATAGACGGTGTTTTATTCTGTGGTACACAGAATCACTGTGAGTTGAGATTAACTCTATAGGACCTAAAAAAAGTAAGAAATACAAATGCCTGGGCGCCAAAAGTCTCTTCTTAATAAATATTCATGGCATCTCCAACTTGAATTTCCTATGGAAAATTACACTGGCAATTACATTTAAACTAAATAGTCCATTGTGTTCTCTAATTACAGAATTTTTTTTATTTTCCATATTTCTCCATTTTTTTATATTTTATTTTATTAATTTTAATGAACATTTACAGAGATTTTAGATTTCCATTCATTCATTGTTGCACTTTTCTCCCCACCCACCCCTCCCCACCCCAGTTCACTCCTCTCTTTGAAAAGTAAAAGAAAAATTATTTCATTGTTATACAATCCCCCCACGAGCCTCCCATCAGCTCGAGTACAGTCCACTATGCAACCTTAATTCTGGACTCTTATGATAACCATAATACCCTATCATATATTGCTTTTAAACTCTTCTCTACCTCATCTATTTCAATGCAGTATACATAATTTATCCAGTTTTTCTCAGTCTTACCCCAACCCTGATGTCAGTCCCATTCTACAACAGTGGCACCATGCAGTATTTGTCCTTTTGTGACTGGGATATTTCACTCAGCATAATGTCCTCCAGGGTCATCCATTTTGAATAATATTGCACGAGTTCCTTGTTTTTCAATGCAGCGTAGTATTGCATTATGTGACTATACCACAGTTTCTCTATCCATTCATTTGTTGATGGGCACCTGGATTGTTTCCAACTCCTTGCTATTGTGAACAAAGCCATGATAAACATGGGTGTGCATATATCTGCTTGGATGGTGATTATGGTCTCTTTAGGGCGGTATCTCTATTTGCAACTTTTTGAGAAAGTGTCACACCACTTTCCACAGTGGTTGCACCATTTTACACTCCCATTAACCGTGAATAACGGTCCCAGTTTCTCCACAACCTCGCCAGCATTTGTTGCTTTCTGTTCTGTTAAATTTTGCTCTTCTGGCTGGGGTGAGAAGATAATCTCATAGTTGTTTTGATTTTCATCTGTCTTAGAGCTAGAGATTTTGAACATTTCTTCATGTGCTTGTTGGCCATCTGAATGTCTTCTTTGGTGAAGTGTCTGTTCATATCCTGTGCCCATTTTTTTATTGGATTATTTACCTTTATCTTGTTGTGGTGCTCAAGTATTTTGTAAATTCTAGATATAAGTCCCTTATCTGAAATGTCATTACCAAATACTTTTTCCCAGTCTGTGGCTTCCCTTTTCACCCTATTGGAGAAGTTTTTAGATGTGCAGAGGGATTTGATTCTTAGAAGGTCCCATTCATTTATTTTATCTTCTCCTGGTTGTAGATTTTTCAGGATACTTGCAAGACTGTTTATGTTGTGGATTAGGACTTCTAGAGTTCTTCCAAGCTCTTTTTTTTTTTTTTTAAATTTAGGTTGTTTATTTTTCATTTCAATGAACATCTACAGAGATTTTGGGATTCCATTCATTCATTGTTGCACCCTTCTCCCTGCACAAACCCCTCCCTCCTCCCCTCCCCATTTGCTCCTCTCCTTGAAAAGCAAAAGAAAAACTCCCTTTTAATGAAGTTTATAGTCCTTGGTTTTAGTCCTAGGTCCATGATCCACCTTGAGTTAGTTTTTGCATATAGAGTGAGGTGTGGATCTTGCTTGAGTCTTCTGCAGATACTTTTTCAATTTTGCCAACACCATTTGTTAAAAAGGCTGTCTTTTCCCCACTTAACTGATTTCATCTCCTTGTCAAAAATGAGTTGACCATAGGTAGATGGGCTGATCTCTGGGTTCTCAATTATATTCCAATGATCTATGTGTCTGTCATTGTACCAGTACCATGCTGTCTAAAAATAGTTTACAGAAAGGTTGAGTTTTTATTCATTCATTCATTGATGAACATTTTTTCCTCCTTTCCAAATTCATTTTGTAATACACTTCTTGTTCCACATTATTCATTATCCTACATATAATACCTAATACATTCCATTTAGACAATCTTTCCCCTCATATTTTGCAGTATAATGTTGATTACCTATTATTTTCCTTTTCTCACCCACTCCTTGTGTCAGTCCAATTTTATAACAGTAGTGTTATGCAGTATTTGTGCTTTTGTGGGTTTTTTGTAGCTTAAAATTTTTTACAAATGTTTTTAATTGGCTTTTTTACACTCATTGATACACATTGTGTTTTATTCATATACATTGTATTTGCACAATTATTTGTATACTTTACATCTTATACAATTGCATATGGTTTTAAAAGTTTAATGATAATACTCACAATGTAATCACACTTTCTCCACTTCCTCCTTCTAATTTTCATTGTTATCTTGTCCTTTCCTGCTTTCCGGGCTTTATTCTTGGGCAAATGCCCTGGCTCTTTGGGTATTACATGGTTGGTTAACGTGTAAGATGTGTGTGCCTTTCTGGTGTTACTGTCCATTTTATAGAGGTATTTGTCCTTTTGTGACTGAGATACTTCACCAGGTTCACTAATTATTTATTCCAGTCACCAATAATTACTAACACATCTTGATTACATGTTTAATCAATTTTGGATTACAAAAGTAGGTAGATAACTTTAATTTCCTCCTCTTTGGCCTTAGTTGTTGGTGCATATATTCTAACAACTATGTTAATAGGTCTTCCTTGTATATGTATAGTTAATAACCTATCACTCACAATATTGTACTTTAGGATAGACAGTGAAATTTTCCCTTAACTTATGAATTCAACATCATTCTTCCTCAGTTTTTAATTCTCAGCATAGTAGATCATATGATTATCTGAATCAAAATTACCCATACCAATCTATCCCAGTTCACTAAGGCCTAGAACAATGATATTCATGCATTTCATTTCATTTTTACAGCTTCCAGTTCTCCTATATTCACACTTCACACTTTCTATGTCATATGCATTACATGCATCAATTCTTCATCCTTCTTCCTTATTCATTGTGCAATTTTCACATGCATATTAAATATCATGATGTAGGTGAGATACATCTTAGTCAGTGGATGCAAAATTGAGACATTTAGAATTTATCTATTCCTACATAAAAATATATTGTCAAATACATAACTGAGATCATACAACATCAACCGAGGGTTGTAATACTCCTTTATGTGTATTATTATGATGATGACATTATCTTATTTCATGATTGAGTCCCAAAATTTTTTTCATGACATTATTTGCTTCTAGAGATTATGCCGTTTCCATTTGTGTCATCTACAGTGTCATCTAAGAATGTCTCTGGCATATTGTTCACCAATAACTTTAATACAAATCTTAAATATATCAAATGTTAACATTTAAATAGCCAATTAAATGTAAAGTATGATAACTATATTCATGTTATATGTTGTATAATAAAGATATCATGAGCAAGTCATATTCTGTCCAAACCTGAGAAACTAAGTCAAAGTTGATTTTTATGCTAAGGTAGATGTTTTGTTTTCTTGACTCCTGAGTTACATATTTAGAATAAGAACAAGAGGTAAAATTTCTGTTCTTAAATAAATACAAATATAACTTATTTCAATTAAGCAACATATATTTAAAGCTGGATAAGTGGGGAAAATCATGGACTAGTTTAAGAATATTAAAACTTGACTGTTGTGGTCCAACTAGCTTAGAGTTACTGTGAAGGTGGAAATGTGAACAAAGTATTACATAAGACAGGAAAATAGTGGTAAGGCATGTTGTTGTTATCTTTGTTAAGTGGCGTCGAGTTGCAGGCAACTCATAGCGACCCTATGAAGGAGAGTCCTTAACGCTTGGGTGCCTTTCATCCTCTCTCCAGGTTCATAGGGTTTCCAGAGGCAAGCTTTAACGGAAGTGGATCTCACTCCTCCTTCCAAGGTAAGGCATGAGTAAGGGGAAATTATGGTGGAAATAGTGATGACAGAACCAATAAGTCTAAATGAGAATTTGGAAACAGCTTCATGGAGATAGCATTTCAATAGGTGGACATAAATGGCAGAGAACATCTAGGCTGCATAGGAGGAGAAACAGTGATATAAAGTGAAATTTAAAAAACTGAAAAAGTCAGTATATTGGCAGTTAGAGAGTATACCGAAGATGGCTGAAGAAGTAATGCAATAGTTAATGTGTTTGAGTGTTAACTTAAAGCTCAGCAGTTTGAATTCCCCCAGCCACAAACTAGTAACTCCCCAGAAGCAGGGTAGAAAGCCTCCTCTCCCAAAGAGTCACAGCTTTAGAAATCTGATGGAAGGTTGCCACAAGTTAGAATCATCTTAACAGGAATAGATTTTGCTTCTGTTGTTGTTTTTGTTTGTTTGCTTGCTTATAGAGCTTAGAGTTGGAAAAGTACATTGGGATCATATTATTGAAGAATGTATTTTGACTTAACAGTTTCAACTTGCTTAGCTCCACAATCAACACTTTGGCATCAACAGTCAGGAAACCAAAGACAAACTGCCTTGGGGAAATCTGCTCTCAGAGACTTCTCCAAAGTGCTAAAGAGTAATGATGTCCGTGACCAATGCACCTGATCCAGGCCGTGGTCTTTGCATTTACATACTATGCTTCAGAAAGCTGTACAGTGACTAAGGAAGACAAAGCAGAATGGCATCCCTTTGAGTTGTGGTGCTGGAAAAGAGTACTGAACATACCAATAGAGCAAACATGTCTGCCTTAGAGAGGATGAAACCAAGTTGCTTCTTGGAGGCAAGGATTTTGAAACTCCATCTCAAATACTTTGGATATGTGGTCAGGAGGGACCAATCCTTGGAGAAGAACATCATGCTTGGAAGGATGGAGGACAGTGCAGGAGAGCGAGATCTGAGATGGGATGGATTGATATAGTAA